GGAGTGCGTTATGTAACTATTTGCCAGACTGGAATTGAGGATATTTCTCAGAATACCAAACTAGTTCTCTGAAAACACACCTGATTGTTTTCCATTTGCTCAGATTTGACTCTGCAGGTTTGTTGCTGTAAGAAATGAGGTTTACACAATAACCACCGAAGGCAATCCCCGCTGAAGCCCATTGGCCGGCCTGGAATATTAATGACATCCCATCAGGTGTTGCTTACCTAGGATCTTCTGTGCAAACTCCTCAAGGGTCAGAGTGCTGGCTCTGATTAAAAAGCCTCCATACATTAGCATCCATAATTTATAAGAGCTTAATGGGCACAATAAATGTCAGCCTCCCCTGCTGCATGTGTGACATTGACAGACACGTCACTACAGCAGCAACAGCGGGCGATCTATAGCCCGCAGAAACCACAGTAAATGGTGACGGCTGTTGACCTTGTTTCTGAGTTCACTAATCTAATGTCCCCCCCACCACCACCCCCACACCCCTCCTCATCCCGTTTGAATCTCCACCAGCCCAACAGAGGGGTGGAAGTAATTTCATTTCTTCTTAAGCAGCTGCTGCAGAACCCACCACATATACAGCAGGTGATCTCACGGGATTTATTATACACACACACACACACACACGCTGGCATGGATATATGTGTGTGTGCGTGCCCTGTTTTATGTATAAAAACATATTCATTCTTATAAATATTTGAAAACTCCGTTATGGATCTAATGTTTATGTCAATATGTTTTAGTTATTTTCATGTACAGTAATAAATACAGTACTTCAGTTTTCTCACTGTGTCTGGAGCTGATATTGTTTCCAGCTCCTTCTCACACTTTTTTTTTTATCTCCTTTTCCTCCTCCTGTCTTTGTCAAATTTGAACACACATTGGATCAAAGCAAAATTTAAAAACCAAATGGTGACACTGTTGGAAAATTAGTCACTTTTTAAAAAAGTGTAAATGTCCTGCAGTTGAGTGTCATCACTTTCATGGTTCTCTGAGCTCTAACCCAGTGTTTAGACACATATATCCTCAAGAAAAACTAATAATAATATTCAACTTTAAATTGACTCCTGTTTAGTTGAAGAAAACGCTGATATACTGAAAGGAATTGAAGAAAAGACACTCTTTAAGCGGAAGAGGATTTAGTTGCGTTGAACAAAGAAAAAATATTTGCAATGAATAAATAATGGTTTTGGGACTAATTAAGTGAAATTGGATAATTTTCTGCGTCACACCTAATGATCTCTCACGTTGGGAATCACCGCTCTAAACCATTCAGAGCTGTGAGCTAGGGTTAGGGTTCGAGTCCCTGATCCCTGCAGCTTCATGCTCTTAATACTTGGTGTTTATTTGAGTCTCTGTCTCTGTCTCTGTCTTTAGGGAATTATTACGGTACGCCCAGGCCGGTTCACATCAGCCCGGAGAGTCGTCCAATCACGTACCAGGAACACCGCAACCTGCTCAGAAACTTCTGCACACGCAGCAAGTCCCTCAGCAACTTGGAGAAGACTCTGGACGGAGGTGAAAACAGCGAGGACGATTCAGGGTTGTCAGGCAAGTGTCTCTGTGAGACGGGGCTCCCTCAGCATCTTCTCCAGACTGATCCGGGTCAAGAAGTACCACTGGAAATCACAGGGGGCGGTGTTGTGCATGTTGCGCTCAAATGCACCCAGAGAAAGGTCTCTGATTCGACCTCTTTCTGAGCTGGAGCCTTATCAACACATCAGTCTGAACACTGTACTGCCCCCTAGCGGATGCATTTCATTTACAGACCAGCTTATTACGTAAGACTTCACCATAGGTTACGTCTGATCCTTTGTTATTATTATTATTACTAGTAATAATAATAATAACAAAGGATCAGACGTAACCTATGGTGAAGTCTTACGTAATAAGCTGGTCTGTAAATGACAACAAGGAAGAGCAGGTTCTGTTAATGATTTAACTGCAGCACTACAGACAGATTGTTACACTTTTTTTTTTTTTTACAGTCAAAGGTCAAAAGTATCGACATCATGGGGAATGTGTCTGTTAAGACCGTGCACCATTGCCAGCAGCTAAAGGCTGTTTGCTCCTCTATCTATAGCCCCGGTCCCTGATACCCACATTAATCAATCATTAGCACGATTAGTATGCTCTGCTCCAAACCCTCAGTGGGACTGTGGCCTCATCGATTGCTGAATTACATCCAAAGGAAGGTCATCAGCCTTAAGTTGCACGAGGGAGGAGGTGAAGATATTGGCAGGAGTGCACACAGGCGGGAGAACGGAGGCACAGGGAGAAAATGTGTGACTGGGATGTAAAAAAAGTTTTTTTGTATTCCAGACAATATTTTTCTGAACCGTGCTCGAAAACATATTTATGAAGCTGAAGATTGCAGATAATGAAGCTGTCATGATGTGGTGACCTGGTAGGAAACAGGTAGGAAATTAAGATTAGGTTAAATTAGCTGTGGACTTGATATTATCGGCCCGATATTAGCATAATATCTGTAAGAATCGTTATTGGTTTTTCCTTCACTAACGAAAACCCTATAATGCAGTGCCAGGGTTTGGACAAATGATAAATGACCTAAAATTAGTTTTGGGGATAAACATCTGTCAATGAAAGTGAAAGCCACTAGATGGCAGCATTGCAGCTCATTTAATTAATCTGTTTTAATAATCAGGAGGTTGTATGTGGAATCAAGCAGCTCATACAGTGATTTGTACAGATAAAAAAAATAAATACTACCAGGTCTATATCAGTATCGGTTCATATCGGAATCGGAAATTAAGTGTTTGAACAATATCGGCAAAAAGTCAATATCCCTAATAAATAATGGAGAACCATTTCAAGGTGTCTTCAAAAACACCGAGTAATGGCTGCTGCACAAGTTGTGACAACAAAGCAGGTGAAACCAGAGTGGCACCACAGATATGAGACAGGCAGACTGAGTGGGAGGTAAGACGTGCAGGCAGGCAGAGATCCAGACAGTTGGGGAGGTGCTGCAGGGAGACGGGAGAGTGGGACGGCGTGCGGTGATGAATTCACGAGTGTAAGAGAATCATCCGACACCGTGACCTCTGCTGAGCCTCAGTGTTACTACAGTGCTGCATGTGAGTGCATGTAGACTGCAGTACTGGTCCCATGCAGCAGGACGCTGGGCGTTGCTGTCTGTGTTTGATGTGTCTTAGATCAGCTGAAGGACAACTACAAGGACAAGTGTGCAGAAAAATGCCTTTTTTCTCCTCCTCTTCCTCTTCCTCCTCTTCTTCCTCAGCTAGTACGGCATGCACAGTCACACACTGTTTCTCCTCAAAGAGAGGACAGAGCTGGCTTAGATGCTGACCTCAGGTCTTTCTGCATGACAACACCCTGTGGGATTCTCAATCCTCGGGTCAATGCAGATCGCAGGACACACACTGTTTGTTAATGTGACTTTAGCAACACAAACAGTTCACGCAGGTGAAGTCAAAACCACAGAAACTATATATAAAGACGTGACAAATTCACTGACCCTGTGATGTCATAAAGAGGTTGAATATATAAACCCCGCCCCACCCGTTTCCACCACTCCCACCTCTGTAACGACCCTCCATTTGCTTCACTCAAACGTGACACGGCTCTAAATGAACAGCAGTTGTATTATGTCAACACTTGAGGCACTAGAAGTGTGTTGTCATCTGTAACAACACAGTGGGGACAGTTGGTGAGGCTGAACAACTTTGGTTGGTTTACATATAAACATCATAGTAATGTTGAAGTAACAAACTCAACTACCATGACTCTGCACTTTCTTCTGGATCATACGCACCGTATTTTCTGGACTTTAAGTTCCACCAGCCAAAAAAATGCATAATGAAGAAGAAAAAAAAACATATATAAGTCTCACCAGCCAGCTAGAGTGCCCTCTAGTGGCTGACTGTGTGAAAAAACAAACATATTTAGAGTGCCCTCTAGCGGCTGACTGTGTCAAAATAACGAACATATTAATTTTCAGTGGTACAGCAGTAGCAGATACTGGTACACAATCCTAGAGTGCCCTCTAGTGGCTGTCAGTGTGAAGATAACAACATGTAAAATTGTATATTTTTTATATATTAGTCGCACCCAGCCAAAGGCACAGAAACCGTGAACAATTTTGCATTTTTCTTTTATTTATTTATTGTTTTTGACCATTACGTGTTACTAACATTTTTTTAGACGAAGAACCATGCTAATGTGTATAAAAGTAGTATAAAAAAACTAGCTGTACGTTATTTGTAATCCAGATGTGGAAACCTTCAGTCACCTACTTCAGCTGCCTGTTTCTGCAGTTTTTACTTCGTATCATTTCCTCGCACCTTAAACCTGTCTCTTCTCGTCACCTGTCATTATAACAGTGTCTGCAGGAGGAACCAACAGAAGTGTCCTTCCAGGCCACCGTCCCTCTGGTCGACGCCGGGCGTTCAGCAGCGGTGGTGATGGTAGTGTCCTAGAGAACGGAATCATTGGTGGCAGAAGTGGAACCAGAGGGAGAACCACGATGCCGGACCGCTGGGAGCAGGCCTTCAGTGATCCAGGAGAGTCCTATTACCCAGAGTAGGTGTCCTCCTAATAATAAAACAATAACACAGAGGCAGAGGTCAAAAAGAAAAGAGGATTTTGTACATTTGTACATAATGAAGGTGATGAATTGTTTTAATCCTGTCCAACAACTTTTTTTTTCTTTTTTCCCCTGTGTTATAATCAACCGTCATTGTCCTGGTCTGTGGAGTGATCACTGTTCATTCTCATGTTTAATTCTGAGAAATGAAGCAATCAGACCTGTGACCCGAGATGTCAAAGTAATTATTAAAGACGCTCCTAACACAGAAGAACTCATCTCCACTCCGACTGTGTCGCCGCTCAGTACTGCAGTACTCAGTGCTGTACTAATAGATTGTGAAGACGTAGCCTTTTCTTCTCATTTCCCCGTTTTGTCTCCTCCAGTTACAGCCCAAAGAGGAGCAGCTGGAGACGAGAGACAGTCTACAAAAACGAATGTGAGCTCGTGTTCTTTTTTTTTTCTACTTCTTTCTTTTCTTTTCCTTTTTTTTTCTTTTCCTTTGTCGAATGTTATTATGGGTTGTTTCACAAATAGTAGCACATCTGACTGTTTGTTCAAAACGGAAGTAATTGACACAACAGTCTGACAAGAGACTAATTAGCATGTAGCTGAAGACACTTGTGTGATCAAGGCTGACTGACAAAGAGCCACACTCACTCTGTTTTTTTTAAAAAAATATATATGTAATTTATTCACACGATTTGAACAGCTTGGTTTTTTTTTTTTTACATCGCTAATTAAAAGTGGAAGTATTGGCGGTTGCTCAGTAAAAAAGTGTAGTACACTAGTCTCACCAGTAGAAGGTGATATAATCACTGTTGTTACAGCAGTTAACCTGCATGTACCGTGAACGGAATGAAGTCTGGCACAAATAAAACACACATTTTCATCTTTATAATATTCGTTAATGTTTAAAAAATTGCAGCTTGTTTTTAATACAGAAAACTGATAAGTGTAAATATTTAATAAGTTATATTTTGTTCAATATATGTAGTAACATTTGACTGTAGATAACATACAGTATAAACACTGTATATTTATACCGTATAAAATAGCTGGAATGTATACTTATTTAATAACAATATTTGGTTTAAAACCCTTTAAGCGCCGCAACTCTTAACCAAATGCGCTCATTGGTTGATACATGTGATGATGTCACAGGTCACTGTAACGCTGTATGTCTGTTTCAATGACTGTCAGGGTTCACTGATGAACCCGAGGATCTCCGGGGTTTCCCAGTGCACACACACTTGGTCAAGAGATCCAGAGGCTTCGGTTTCAACATTGTGGGGGGCAGCAGACCAAGAGAGTTCCTGCAGGTCTACAGTGTGACTGCCAGTGGACCCCCAGCCCTCAAAACAGGTAAATAATGTGGTTATGTCAAGCTACGTGTCATGTTTAATACAAACTATTCCCTAAATGTAGTAATTTTTGACTACATTTTATGTATATATGTAATATATGTAATATAATATGTGTAATATATTATATACGTTATAAATATATATTATATGTGTATTATATAATATATAATACATAATATATAATGTATACATACATGTATATATGTTATATATTATGTATATATATTATATATAATATATGTATTATATAATATATATAATATATACATCTGTATATGTATATATGTAATATTATGTATATATGTTATAAATATAATATATATTATACATGTATTATATAATATATATACATGTATATACTGTATACATATATATGTATATATGTAATATATTATATGTAGTATGTACTACAAATGTACATATTACATTCAGGACATTTGTACAACATTCTACTTTTTTTCCTCAGGGGACATCATAGTCTACATCAACGACGTCTGTGTGCTGGGAATGTCCCACAAAGAGGTGGTGGAGCTGCTGAAGTCGGTGCCTATTGGCCACAGCGTGGACGTGGAGGTGAGGCGGGGCTACCCCATGCTCTACAACCCAGACGGTCGGCCCAAAAAGCACTCTCCGAGGCAGTTGGACATGGATGACCCCGTCTTACAGCCCATCACCACCACCCAGCCGCAGCCTCTTCACCAACTACCTCGCCTCCCGACACCCACTCCACAGTACCAGCACTTTAACTTCGACGTGGACTACCTGGAGCCCAGGTTCGGCCTGGACGCTAACGGGACCACGTCTCCTTACGTCGTCAGACAGTCGCCGCCGTACAGACATTCCAGCCTCAGCAACGCTGCCACTCTGTCCCCGTCACACCTGCCGCGGTCCCTGAGAGGACTGGCCCGGCTGCAGTCTCTGGACCAGACCCAGAGTGACAGTGAAGTGGTTTCTGCCATTGGTTCACACAGGTAATATCTACACCAGGGGGGGTGTCAAACTCAAGGCCCGGGGGCCACATCAGCAACACGGTTCCCCTTGAAGGGCTGGTTGTAAATGGACAACTCTATAGATAAGGGGTTCCCAACCCCCGGTCCGCGGACTCTGCTGCGTGGACTTTACTGAATGCTTTTTAAGGGCCACACAAAACGGCTTGGCGTGCCACATTTGGCCCCCGGGCCTTGAGTTTGACACGTATGATCTACACCAATCAAGTGTTACAGTTTACACCGGTGCGACCACCACCTACATCGACTTCTCTTTTTCCTCGTTTCTCTCGTTTTTCAGGGCGTCCATGATTCGTAACCACAACAACAACTCCCTGTCAACTCCTCAGCACCATCAGCGATACGGCCCCTCCAAGTCGTCTGAGAGCGACCTCTCCACCTGCACCCTCTCGTTGTCCAGGCTGCCGCTGCCTCAGTCGCCGCGCAGACCGGCGCCTTCACCCCCCCGCCCCCCCCCCCCCGCCCCCACCCGCCCCCT